GTCCCAAGGTTTATGAACAACAATAATGAACCAATGTGACTCTAATTGAACATAACCCAATTTTGCTTTTGTTATAAATAACATAAATATAACTTAAGATAGTTATTGACTAAGGACTGAGTTCAGTTCTCTGAAGGAGGCAAATGACTCCAAGATTGAACTTGGAGGAAGTTCCTCCTGCTGGGCAAAATCATGGAAACATCTGTCTTCTTCAAGCACAAAAAAGTCAGCAGAAAGTCTCTTCAGCTTCTCAAGCAAGGTTGTCTAGGTAAGATGAGCTCCCTGGTAAATGTGATGTTTTCAATCCCTACAACAGGCAAGGAAAAATCTTCTTGCTGTTCTTATCTCCAGGTAACTTTCCTTTTATAGAATTATTTTGTTAGAAACAAAAGAGGGAACCCCATTTTTTAAATTGATGACTCAACGTGTTTCACACAAAATCCATTGTCAAAGAGAAATACATTCTTTTAGTTATGTTGGCACTTGGGGGGTACCCCCTTTGTTTGCCTATTCCCCATATGTAGTTTTATTCACAGAGTAATGTCTCTTAAATCTTCTAAAAAGGCCAGGCTGAACAATTCTCTGGTCTTTTGGTCAAATCCATTTCTCAATATTTTAAATACCTGTCCTTCTGGTAAAGCTCCAGGGCAGCGTGGATCTTCAGAGCTGAATTCATTACCAAATCCTGACATGTACTATAAAACAAAAGAACACTTTATACAAAGAAATATTTCTTATCTTATTGAAAAATTATAGTTTTGCTTTTTCAGATTTATCATAAGATGGGCATGTCATTTTCGGTTACAAATTGGATTCTAGCTGAATTTCTGAATTCAATTTCTCTTGCGGTTATTTGATCTATGGTGGAGGACATGGAAAGTAACTATTTCCCTTATCCCACTACCATGGTGTGGGGTTTAATGGAACAACTTCATTCTCTTAAGCCCTATCTTGATGTCACATGGCTTGCAGGATAAGTGGATATTTGGAGCTGGTCTCCACTCTAGTTTTTAATCAACTACTGTACATTACATTCATGGTTTAATAAATCTGACTCTGGACTACCTCTAGAGTTAAAAGTGATACAGGCTGTTGTCTGTTTCTTAAGAAAGAATCCTATTTCTAGAAAATGTTTAATGTCACATGAGAAGTCTAGCCATTCTAGAATCTGATAATGAAATGACTGCAGTCAAGAAGTCTGTGTGTTTAGCTGCAATTTTCATTCCTATTGCCTTCTGTTTTATTGATTCTACAGAGTTGCATAGCCTCTTCATTAGAACTGATAAAGAGAAGTTTGGCTAATTTTCAGGTTTTAAAAATCTAATTGGGAAATAACTTCCAGGCCACCTAAATACTTTGAAGAGGAAAATTTACAACTGACAAGAAGCTTCCAACTTGTGGCACAGCAGAGTTGGCAATGGCATCTACTCCCTCATTGTCAGGCGGTGAAAAACCAGGACCATACCTGAAGGTTCAATTTAACTGATTTATTACCCTGCTGCCTGATAATGCTACATAGCACAGAAGGATTTAATGCTAAAATTACTAAGCTCTATGCATAGGAATCTTCTCTAATGGTCAACAACTGGTTAGCGCTAGATAAGGGGCAACAGCAAGTGGGAGGGGGTTGGACTTATTTCATTTGTGGCTAAGTAATGACTCTAAAGTGATCTCTCTTTTTACCCTTCCCCCTGGCTCTGCCAATTCTCCTATATCCATCCACTATTGAAAGGATAAAAACACATCTTATCTTACAGAAATGAATAAACCTGACTGTAGATTTTGATTAATATCCTTTTGGCCTATCCACCCCATATTGAACCTCCCAGTCTTTCCTCCCTGCTAATACAGCTTTACTACTGCCAAAGTCCATGCATACTGTATCCCTGTCTATTTAATCTGAAGTCTGCTAAACTGAGGTCTGTTAAATGAAATTGTTTGCTGTGGTTCAGAGTAAACTGATTTAAACAAATTGCTGTTAGAAATTAGTAAGATTTGGTTAGACATGCCTCCTTTAAGCTGAGTATTGTACAGTATTGTGAGTTCTGGTCCTGCCTTAGGCACAATGTCAGCTGGGTCACCTTGAGCCAGTCACTTTCTCCCAGCCCTAAGAAGAAGACAGTGCCAAACCACTTCTGAAAAACCTTACTAAGAAATTTGCAGGGACTTGTCCAGGCAATCTCCAAGAATCACAATTGAACAGAACAACAAAAAAATAACATGAATATAGTATACTATAGTCCTAAAATTTATTTTGTGAACTTAATTCACTGTTTTGAGATTTGGGGAAATTTTTCCCTTGTTTTTCAATCAGAACTTTTCAGTTGACTGTTGAATTTCAATTTTTAAGATTCACACTTTTATCATAAAGAGCTTTAATAAGTTGTAATGTGATCAATTAACTTGTCTAAAATGAGTTTTCCCCCTCCTAATATTATTTACAAAAGAGGATTGCATTCAATAACTATTTATTTATTTATTTATTTATTTATTCATTCATGTATTTTATTTATTTATTCTGATTTCCACAGCTGCCCAACTCAAACAAACTGAGCAGATTGCAATTGTACACGAACATTATGGGAAATTGAACCTCAAAAACAGTAAGGCAGTCTTTTCAATGGAGAACCTGAGTGGAATGTGAAATGCATGTCTTAGAACAATTAATAGTATTAGCTGATTTTCATAATACAGATGGCTGCCAAAAATGTATAGACTGGCAATGCCCTCAATTAAAATATTGTTTGATATGTTCATGTGGCTGGAGGTCTTAAAGGATTTAATATGTTCTCTACACAATAATGATTATTTAAAAAAAACCAGTTCCTCCAACACATAAATTAGATGTCCAAGATTATAAGGCGGCTTTAAATATAAAACTGATGTCTTGATTCATGAAAATCAATGGAAGAGCATTTTTACTGTTTCTATAGCAGTAAAAATTTAATTTCAGAGAATTAGTGATAAATGAAAGAAATGACATATAATAGGTGTATTCTTACCGATTAAAAGGATAGAAAGAAAGAGACAGGCTTTATCAAGGGGCTTCAAGTTAGGATTTTTCAAGTGAAGTGTCAGGTAAGTTGAACCTGGTTAGACTGATGGATCACCAGTTCTAGAAATCTTTCAGAAATAATGAAAAAGCCACTTCTCCAGCTGCACTGATAAAATATATTATGTGCAATTAATATTTAGTTTGCTTGATAAGCTAGCTGAGAAATAACTTTTCTACAATTTGTTAAAATATGAATTTTATCTGGAATGGTCAGGATATATTTTCTGCCTTAATGAATCAGTTATTTCTTAGCTCTGCATAACTGATGAAATTTAACCTTCCAAATCGTTTTCTAAGAGATAGCTATTAACGGTTAATGGAATGAAGTTCTTATTCAAAATCTGTGTTTTGTTGCATCAGACCCTCTTGGTGAAATGGATTGGTTTGATTCATTTGGAAATTATTATACAAAACTGTTTTGGATTACTCCAAAATATTAAGAAACTTATAAAAGCGTTAACACTGAGTCATGCTTGTTAAATATTCTTCTCATGTGTTTAACACATTCCAAATAATTTTAAAATAGTTCTTTAAAAAGGGAAAGGTGTTGTAATTCCTGTTTCCCAGAATTTTCTAGATTTAGACTTACAGTTTAAACATGTTAAAAATCTGACTATACAGCAGTTAGATCCGCCACAATCTAAATTTGAAAAGGCATTACAAAGAATGAAGTTTTAAATATACAGCTTTAAGTGAACTGGGCAAAAACTCCTTACTTCAAGTAAATGACCCCATAGATAAAAGCAAAGCTCTAGCAAACATCTTGGCTGGTTTCTGCCTGCTCATAGAAAGCATTTGTATCTGCAGCAAGGATTCCCTATAAAAAAAAGTGATTTCACTAGTTCATCACAGAAACGATGAAAGCATTCTAGAAGTCTACTCTATTTAGAAGTATGTTAATGAATGGGAATGAAGAAATTCTGAAATCTTTTAGTCAAAGCAACAGGATACAGATTTTCACTGCTAACTTACCTTTAACTCTGTTATTTCTTCCATATTTCTTATCATTCCTGAGGACATTGCAAAAACTAAATGTGTTTGGTCAAATGACTTCCAAAATGGTTTCCAAAATTATTTTCTTTTAGCAACTGAAGAAAATTAAAATAGTATGATGGCAACCAAGCTATTCTGCAAGTGAGAAAGTCCAAGAGAGATTTCAAACTATTTACTCAGTTCAGCCTGGTTTAATGAGAAACAGGCTTCTCTTCTGGAACCAATGGAAGGATCTCTGCGAATCAACAACCAGGAAAAAGGGGGAGGAAAAAGCTGACTTGTTTTTGTAATTTTATTTCAGACAATGTTAGCAATGGAACCCAGACATGAGTAAAAAAACAGCATTTCTATTCCTAATCCTTCAAAACTACACTAAGAACAAGGATCAAAGAATGTCTAAGTGCTGCAGAGCCTTATTGCTACTCATTCCCACTACACAGGAAAATGAAGTAAACTAAAGAAACTTCATGTTCTTCCTTCATATTACGTACATTTGTCTAGACTTGTCTAGGTTGTGGGGGAGAGTGGAACTGAAAAGACATTAAAGCCTCCTTTATTTGTGAAAGGCTTGCTAGTGAGGCTGAAATCAAGGAAGCAAGGTAGAAAAAAAAACTGGCAGGTTAGAGGAAATGCTAAGGAACTATTATGGCCGATATTAGTCTCATTTTAAAAATGTTCTTTTTTTATTAATAACGCTCTAATAAGTAATGGACAAGCTGGTTTCAGTTTTTACATTGATTTCCCCAAAAAATGGGTGTTTTACATCCATTCAACTCCTGCCTTAGGCAGGAAAGCAAGCTGAGTAACCTAGGACCAGTTGCACTTTCTCAGCCCAACTCACCTCACAGGGTGGTTGTTGTGAGGAAAATAGGAGGAGGAAGGAGCATTAGATATGTTGGCCACCTTGAGATGTTTATAAAAATAATAAAGGTGGGATATAAATTAAAAAATAAATTTTACTTTTTGTGTCATTAAACCCAGCATGTTTGAACTCTCCACCCCAGCTGTGGTTTACCATGTTACTGCTACCAACAACAGGAAAGATATCACTGCTCCTCATCTTCAGATCTCTACATGAGTAGGCAAATTGGAACAATATTTTTTTAAAAAAATCTTTATTCTGTGTCAGAGTGCTTGCATATAACAGGTATCCTCATCTTCATAATACAATTATTACTCTGGGTTTCTGCTCAGAGTATAATCACAAGTGATAAATTATTATACTTGCATAATGCTTCAAATTCAATTTCTAAACTGTGCTTTAGAGTAGGCAAGTGCCAGATTTGTCTGCATTCTTTAAAGCAGCAGCATCTTTTTACTGGGCCTCATGGCAGCTGCTAAGGAATAAATGAAATTGCACCCAGCTCCTATGGGCAGGCTCTAATAGAATTTGAAATGTTGCACACCCCTAAAATATAAACTTTCAGACTCTTCTATCTGGAGGGCAGAGGATACTACAAAACAGGAACACAAAACATTTGTGGCCACTAATTTGTACCCCTTCAGCTGAGTTGTTTTGTTTTCCTTCTTTCCCAATTTTTCTTGGTATATTTTACCATATAATGACACTTAAAATTGTATAAATAGAATATACTATTAAATAGGTATGCATGGTCATTTATTTGCAGGCTTGCTTTGCCGATTCTATTCCTTCATGTTTGAGACATTATTATTTATAGATATGTTTAATTCAGATGTCCTTTAGCTTTGATTGCTATCAGTGACATAGCATCGGCTCGAATGGGAATGATGTTGGTATAATTGCTGTAGAATCTCTTTCCTAGTCATCCACTTATCACTGACTTGTTATTTGTATTTGCAAATTAATAATAATGAATAAAAATGTAATACGAGACAGCATATTCTACAACAAAGCTAGGTACTCATTATGCTTCTTGGATAGTGAATTGCAGCTTCTTTCTAAATAAATCTGGGAAGACACAGTCCCATACACTGTGATTGGGAGAAGATCTGACTTTGCTTAGTACCAGAATGCTGCATTCATTTCATTTTGCACACTTTATAGATGGCACAGCAGAGGATCAGTCATAGTGAAAATTCTTTACAAAGCCACTTCCAATTCTCTTTTTTTCTGAGAAGCTAGGAATCTGTTGATGGATAAAAATGTTTGTATTAGAATTCACAATTATCGTTATTAAAATATTATATAACTTATACAAATTAGGCATTTAGAAATTATTGAACAAAGCACTCCTCTGGGTCTATTCTTTAAGGCTACAAAGTATCCACAGTTTTAAGATCTTCTTGTGGTTCTTCTGGACATATATTTGCATAAAACAGTGTTACAAATTTTAAAAACCCAATCAGTCAAAAGGAAGATATTAGGGAGAATTAGCTGTTCGGAAAAGTAGTATATAAAATATACTTGCAACCTCTGATTTCTGGAGTAGAAGGAGCCATCATAGAGAAGTGTCCATGTGGCCACTAAGTGGCAATCCACCAGCATGGAAAATATTATTGCTACCCAAGTCACAAATGCTTATAATATGAAGATTTTTTTTCAGGGTGATTTGATCTTTCAAGGCTGCTTTGTCAGCCAGCCAATGCAAATCTTTTACCACAAATCTGATATGTGAGAACCTTTTAGATCACTATCAAATACACAGATTGCATCAAAGTAATCTACCCAGAAATTACCAAAGCAGCTTTTATTGAGATAAAAGATTCCATGTTCTGAAATAAGCACATTTGTTTAGACCATACATTGGCAACCTGCGGCTCCCAGCCTCCTCTACAATTTGCAGAGAGAGACAGAGACAGAGAGAGGCACTTGCGTTTTGCTTCTCTCTCTCTCTCTCTCTCTCTCTCTCTCTGTGTAAAAAAGAGAGTGGCCTCACCCTGTTCGATGAGCCAACAAGCTTACTGGGCGGGGTTCCTCCCTTTGCTGCTTCTCTGCAGGAAGCAGGAGACAGGAAGCAGGAAGGGCAGGAGAGAGCTAGCTAGCCCAGCTATGCTCAGGAATTCTGGGAGTTGAAGTCCATGAGTCATAAAAGAGCCGAGGTTGCCTACCCCTGAGCTTGTTGGAGAACAGCTTGAAGCCAGCTTGCCAGGTGAGCAGAAGATCAGAGAGAGGGAGAGAAAGAGAGAGGAGAGAAAGAAAAAGAAAAAGAGAGGGAGAGGAAAGAGACAGGGAAAGAGGGAGAAAGAGAGAGAGAGAGACCCTTTTGACATCTAAAATGAAGATAACACTGCATATATCCTTTTTTACCTTTATGAGATATATATGTATACACACACACACACACACCTATAATAAAGGTAAAAAAGGATATATGCAGTGTTATCTTCATTTTAGATATCAAAAGGGTTTTGCGGCTCCCAGTGTTTTGTTTTCGGTAGAAAATGGGTCCAAGTGGCTCTTTGAGTGTTTTGGGTTGCCTACCCCTGGTTTAGACAGAAATGCCTTGTTCTAGTCAGAAGCCCAAACGAACCATTATAGATTGTACCTTAAAGACTCCAAGAAGACTTCATATCTGCAAATACTTATGTGACATTTTCTAAACTGCCTTGTCCCCAAAAAAATACTTGGGCAGGGACATATTTAATTTTGGATCGCCAGCTTTCAAGCGATTTTCCAATCTGTTTAACTGCTTCTGGAAAACCATCATGCTTACATCTTATAGTATTGCAGAGATCACTCAGGAGCAATCAGTGGCCCACTGTATCTCATCAGTCTAGAGTGAGACTCTACTTCAGCTGCTGAAATATCAACTATTTTATTCAGAAAACTATTCAACTGATAATTGTTTGATTGATTCAATTGATAATTCAATTGGTAATTTGTTTCACATGCAGCTTGTGTTTGCAGAGCCAATCTCTCTTTCCCTCTCTTCCCTTTCCTACCTCACAGTAATTTAAATCTATCAGTCTAGCCGCTCTATGCATCTGATGAAGTGAGCTGTAACTCATGAAAATGTGAGCCTTTTAATAAAATGTGTTAGTTGGAAAAAAAAATGCCACCAGGCTCCTCCTCTTTATGGATTTCACTTGGAAAGGATCTGGTCATGACAATGCAGTTATTATACATTTACATGTGTTCAAATTAATTCCATCCCTTGGGGCAAAAATCTGTGCTATGCCTTGTGTTCTACTGATGACCATGTGAGACAACCATATAGCTGTTATGAAGACCCAAATTAAATTGAAGCAATCTATCAGCGGTTTTTCAGCATCAGGGATTCTGTTGCATGAGCAGTAATCCAGGAGTAACCCTAATGGGCCTACTATGTTTTGTGTTGTGATTTTCTACTAAGTCTCTACATCCAGCATTTGTGATAACCTCTCCTCTTTCTCAGTTAATTGGAAATAGCCTAACATTTTGCACTAATTGTAGTGGTATAGGTTCTCCTACTTGAGTGGGGGGGGGGGCTGGACTAGAAGATCTCCAAGGTCCCTTCCAGCTCTATTCTATTCTAGTATTTTAACCTATTTCTAGATCTATATAATTTCAATAATTTAGTGCAGAAGTTACAAATGCAAGGATTAAATACACCTGAATCCTGGCAAAGCACACTCATTGCCACAGAGACCACTTGTACCTCCACAGAGAAAGTGAGGACCTCTTTCTTTTTTCCTAATCCAATGAAATTATGTCAGTGCATTGTAGAAAGGAGCTTGCATTTAAAAGATTTTAAACATCAACTCAACTCATGTAATTTATAAAATAAAAAAGGGAAATGACACATACCTGATTACCATCTCGTATATAGTATCTCTTTTCTATAACCTAAAACACAGTAAAAAAAGAAAGGTTATTAAATGTGATCCATCCACGATACTGTGTCATGCGGGAGACAGAAATTTACTTTCTAAGAACTGGGTTTGAGCACGTTGGAGACAAGAACAATGCCCCCTTGATGACTCCAGGGAAATGGCAGACATTGGAGATGTGTGTGGGGGAGGAGAGAAAGTAGGTGATTTACAATTATAAACAGCTGGAAACAAAGCAGAGAGTGAACACAACCACACTTTCAACTTTGCCGGAAACAAAGTTATCGCCCAAGATCCAACGAAGGGTGGCCGCCAGCTAAAAGAAGCCTGGCTATATAACAGGCATTCTATTAACCGGCACATAGAATTATTGCCAGCATATCAAACACCGAGACAACATGAACAGTCATGCAGGGGACTAAAAGGGAGAAACTATCAACTACCCCTCTCTGAAGCAAACAGAAAAATGAAAGATCTTGGCCACATACTTACAGAAACATTGACACAGCAGAGGACTACAAAAGATGAAAACACGGAAGTGCAAATTGAGCCTGCCACAGGATCAAAGGGGAGATGACAAATCAATGCGATCAATGCGGTAAATATGACAGGTAAACCATCAATGGATGCAATCACACCACACACTGACAACGTATCCGAATATGACAATGGAAGGAGTGATCCTCGACAACTCTTAACAGCCATGCCTTACATGACAGCCGGGCTTCGCAAAACGGAGAAGATTGGCAGGCGGAGCAAGCGGAGAGAGCAGCTGCAAATATACAAGATATACCATCAACTGATGCAATCACACCACATGCTGAAGACACAGCCAAATATGACAATAGAGGGAGAGATCCTGCAACAACCCTTAACAGCCATACTTTTCATGACAGCTGTGCTTTGCAAAACAGAGAAGATCGGCAGGTGAAGCAAGCGGGGAAAGCAGCAACAAATGTAACAGATAAACCATCAACAGATGCAACCACACTACATACTGACAGCATATACAGATATAACAATGAAAAGAGAAGTCCTGCAACAACACTTAACAGCCATGCTTTGCATGACAGCTGCACTTCGCGAGACAGAGAAGATCAGCAGACGGAGCAAATAGAGAGAGCAGCGGAACTAAAGCAGACACCGACCAGCGAAGCCGGATCAAGATTGACACATTCTATCACCGAAGAGCGAGGATAGACAGACCTATCGCGCGCCCAATGGCCAGATCATTAACATCTGGAGAGCCGTAGAGATAGGTGCCTACAGACGCTGGCTCGTACTTTGAAAACGTCAGCAATTGCTGACAAAAGCTCAGTGTAAAATAAAAGATTTTATCCCAGAGATCAACATTCTAACAGTCTCTCATAATTTATATCTGCTGACATCGTCAGAGTTCTAGCCAGGATTGAGAATAACGCTTTTATAGTCTCTGTAACGCCAATCGTTTGGCTAACAAGCGTTTTACCAGTCTATTTAGCTCCCGCCCTCCCGTGGTTAATTGCTTTGTTGTTGTTTCCGTCGCACTCGTTGACAGCTGTTTGAATTTCAGCACTCTGCTCCTCTCCTCGTGCCCCGCCCATGCGGAGCGTGCATTCTGCCGCACACAGTCATCTCGCCGCTTTTCTGACGTTTAATTTCATGGAGGCCAGGGTCATTGCTCATGATGTAACAAAGGGTGGCCGTCTGCTAAAAGTGGCAACAAGCATTCCATCAACCGGCATATTGAACTGTTACCAGTTTATCAGACATTACGCCGGCAGATATCCTTGAATAAGAAAACTGCAAGGATGAAACAGCCACAGATCCCACTGACACGAATAGGCCAACAGAGGATTGTAACCGTTCCTCAACAGACTTATTGTTACATCAAATGACCAAGAGGAGGTAGACGGTGCCGATGAGTGACAGCAAAAGACCTGGAACCAACATAGACAGGGACGATGACAGCAAAAAAGAACAACCAGCTGAAATGACAGCATCGCATATGGAGATGTCAGAAAACCAGCGAGATGACTGCATGCAGCAGAACGCACCCCCTGCACGGGCGGGACGCAAGAGGAGCAGAGCGCCAAAATTCAAACAGTTGTCAACGAGCGTGACGGAAACAACAGAGCAATTAACCACGGGAGGGCGGGAGCTGAATAGACCGGTAACACGCTAGTTAGCCAAACGATTGGCGTTACAGAGACTATAATATAGTAGGGATTATTTTTGGCAGAAAAGAAACATCTGGTCAGAGTATAACTGTCTTTCTGCCAGATGAGATAAGATTGATAAACAATAAGGGCACAAAGTTCACTAGCGTGATTCACATAAGTAACTGGCAAAAGAAAAACACTTCCAAGGTAAGCGAACATTAGGAAGAATGGTCTCAAGTATTTTCGAAGTTGACTAAGAAAGGACCATTGAAGTCTTCCAAGAAAAAGCCCATCTCAGAAATGAGGATACCTATTAGATTTAATAAAGAAAACTGAAACCAAATGAGGAGAAACACTGACTAATTCTGGATAAAAGGATGAATAGTAAAAAAAGCCACAACAAGCCTGGGTTGATGGCCTTTCAAAGAAAGCGGAAAGAGACCTTTGGAAAGAAGCCCATTCAGAATTAAAAGAACAGAGAACAGAAGGCTTCAAAGAGGCACCAGGACCTCTTGTTCAGCAGGTGGCATAAGACAGGCTTCCAGGCTGTCAGACACATATCCACAAACCTTGTGACAGGAGATTTTTGTGAAGGGGAGATGACCAAAATAGCCTTTGCCCTCAAAATAGTTTAGGAGACCAGAACTGCATGCACCACCAAAAAATCATGAACATGCACTGCTTTGATTGTAACAGATCTTGGCAAGAGGCCTGGAGAAATGAAACAATATAATATTTAACAATGTGTAACATCTAAATGTTCAGAGGTCCAGAAAGGAGAGTGGATGCAACGGGAAGGCAAGGAGGTATTCAAAGCAAAGACAGTACTAACAGAACCCTCATTGAAACCACAGGTGTGTTTGTGTACCGTATGTCTACCGTACATATGCCCATGGGTATGTGTTTGTATTTGTGTGTGTGTGTGTGAGAGAGAGAGAGAGAGACAGACAGACAGAGAGGGAGAGGGAGGGGGAGGGAGAGAGAGAGGGAGGGAGAGAGAGAGAGAGGGAGGGAGGGAGAGAGGGAGGGAGGGAGGGGGAGGGAGAGAGAGAGAGAGAGAGAGAGAGAGAGAGAGAGAGAGAGAGAGAGAGAGAGAGAGAGAGGGTGTTACAGTTTATTCTGATCTTCTGAATCGGAGGCGGAAGGGCCTGATCAGGTTATACGGAAATTAAAAGTATGATTGGATAAAGAACCAACTCCTAGAATTATAAAAAGATAAGGTTTAAAAGTATAACAAATAAAAATCACATTCTTGTTTATGTAAGCACTTATTATTTTTAATCTATTTTGATAATAAAGCACTCTTTACTTAGTAAGAGCCAAAGGAATCTGTGTAGTTTGTCACCATCACTAAAAAGAAACCATGACAAGACTGTACACCTTTAATCTCCATGTTCAAGAAAAAATATTGAACAAAGTGGATCAAGAAATACAGGAAGTCCTCGACTTTCAACAGTTCATTTAGTGACCGTTCCAAGTTACAACGGCACTGAAAAAAGTGACTTATGACTGTTTTCACATTTATGGCCATGCAATATTCCTATGGTCATGTGATCAAAATTCACACACTTAGCAATTTGTCCATATTTATAACAGATGCAGTGTCTTGGGATCATATGATCACCTTTTGCGACCTTCTGACAAGCAAAGCCAATGGGGAAGCCACATTCACTTAGCAACTGCATTACTAACTTAACAACTGCAGTGACTCATTTAACCACTGTGGCAAGAAAGATCATAAAATGGGGCAAAATTCATTTAACAACTATCTCACTTAGCAACAAAAAATTTGAGCTCAATTGTGGTCATAAATCAAGGACTACTTGTAAGGAACCCATTAAATCTGAGGGTCTGGTTTGACATCGTGGTGTAATGGGCACAGGAAGAAGGGGCTCTGTCTTCCGCATTCGATTTTACCCCGCTGAGGACCCTAAAAAGATACAAAAGTCTCCCCGAAGAGGAGGGGACCCTCGTTGATCACGGGAGGTTGATTCCGTTTGATCTGAGGAAGCCCTCCAAACCGGCGGGGGAAAGACTGGCTACATTCGTGTGGCCAGTCAGAAGCTGCTGACAACCGAAGAAAATAAGCATTAATTAGCAACTTTTGAGCAACGTGGATGGAAGTGGGTGAGACCCTATCCTCTCTTTATGACCTTAAGACTTTTTCCTGGGGAAAAACTGCCCAAAGCAAAGAATCCTCTCCGATGAGAGAGGGAAGGGGAATTTCCATTCCATTCCCTCAGGAAAAGAAAAGTGGTGAATTAATTGCTTGGAGGGAAAATAGAGAAAATTACAAGATTAATTTGGAAGCAACACACATATATATCTTTAAAATTTGGGGACTAAAAGTGCTTTTGAGATTTTTTTTTAAAAAAATATAAGTTTGGATGTAAAAAGCTGGAAGATGGTGTCAACGACATCTAGTGGCAAACTATAGCACTACAATGTATTGTGCCTAAAGGAAACTTGGCTGGAAGCCCAGACTCAAATAAGACTCTTGTTGCTAAGAGGGTTTGAATAAGGAAAGCTTTTGGTTACCCAAATATAACTTATTATGAGAAATTATAAGCGATAGAGACATTTTGAACACTGATGGGAATTTTTTTTTAAAAAAGTGGAAAAACAGGATATTAATTGAACAAATGGATATTAAGCGCAAACGCAATTAAGATATATTTTGGTTAGAAAAAATATTTTAAACCGACATTATTGATATTATTAGGAAAATGTAACAAAGATGTTGATATTCAATTATATATGTATTAACAACAATAAGAATTGTATTTGCCTAATGTGGGAAAATGTGTACTACTGGAAGTAGAGAGGAAGCATTGGATGGTGTAATACTGGGCCTAGATTGAAGAAGTTAATTAGTAATTGAATTACTAATGGACCCAGGACAACACGTTGTTTATTAAGTACTTATGATTGTAAAACTAGAAAATTAATAAAATATTTATATAAAAAAAATCTGAGGGTCTGATCTATATGCTGTGGAGATATTGCTGTTCTGCTGATGCCCGAATGTGCAAGTACTTCCTGGGCATCTTAGAAAAACAATCAATGATACAAGAACTTTCAAGGAACCAAAGTATTCAAGCAATTGAATTCTGCACTAAAATGCCAGTAAAACCATGTTAACTAACAGGCTGATTGTCTAAAGGCAGCACGAAAACATAGGCTTCGGATAGCATAACAATAGGGTTATAACAGCTGATCTTATTAGTAATAATAACAATAACAGCTGATCTTATTAGTAATAGACTACTAAAGTAATAGACTACTAAAAGCATCCTAAATGGAGATAGTTTTGCTTTTACAAAAGCTGAATAGTCCTGATTTTTCCTTTGGCACTAAAATAAACATAACAATCCTAATCTAGGTTATGCTCTTGATGTAATTCCACAGCCCCGATGTTGATAAGGTGTTAGAAAGAGATTAACAGAGAGATATAATGTCTCTGAGCACAGTTCAAGTTGAAATACTAAAACAGAGGGCTTAACATTGATAGGCAAATTCAGGTAAAGCACAAAAGTGAGGGAACTATGCCAGAACCCTACAATTTCTTCTACTTCCTCAAGAGGCTGCTGAGGCGCATGCTCTGAGATGTTTGTGCAGGACTTATGCAATAAAACCTGTATAATTTGGATGGGGAGGAACAGACTCAGGCTCAACCCTTCCAAGACCGAGTGGCTGTGGTTGCCGGCGCCTCGGCATAGTCAGCTGACTCCATCGCTGACTATAGGGGGTGAAATTTTGGCCCCCTCAGAGAGGGCACGCAACTTGGGTGTCCTCCTGGATCCACGGCTGACATTGGAAGATCATTTGTCGGCCGTGACCAGGG